GAAGCTCAACATGAGCTGGCAGTGTGCACTTGGCAGTCCAGAAAACCAACTGTGTCCTGGGATGCATCGAAGTGTGGCCAGCAGGTCAAGGGAGGTGATTCTCCTCCTCCGTTCTGCTCTTGCGAGACCCTACCTGGAGTACTGTGTCCAGTTCTGGAGCTCTCAGAAGAAGAAGGACATGGAGCTTGTGGATTTAGTCCAGGGAAAGGCCATGAAGGGCCTTGCAAGTCGGGTTAAGGATAATAGAAAGGGCTTTTTCAAATACATAGCCGACAAAACTAACACTAGAAGCAATACAGGCCCACTGTTGAATGAGGTGGGTGCCCTGGTGACAGGATATAAAGAAGGCAGAGGTGCTGAATGCCTTCTTTGCCTCTGTTTTTACTCCTGCAGGCTTTCCCCATGAGCCCCAGCTTCATATAGCCCCAGAAGAAGTCAAGATAAAGGAGGAGATTGACATGGTAGATGAGGATTGGGTTAGGGATCAGCTGAGTAATCTGGACATCCATAAATCGATGGGTCCAGATGGAATGCACCCAAGGGTGCTGAGGGAGCTGGGGAGGTCATTGCTAGGCCACTCTCCATCATCTTTTGTAAGTCAAAGTAGGCCAGTGGCATCCTGGGGTGCATTAGAAAGGGTGTGGTTAGTAGGTCAAGAGAGGTTCTCCTTCCCCTCTATTCTGCCTTGGTGAGGCCACATCTGGAATATTGTATCCAGTTCTGGGCCCTTCAGTTCAAGATGGACAAGGAGCTGCTTGAGAGAGTCCAGCGCAGAGCCACAAAGGTGATGAAGGGAGTGGAACATCTCCCTGATGAGGAAAGGCTGAGGGAGCTGGGTCTCTTTAGCTTGGAGGAAAGAAGACTGAGGGGAGACCTCATCAGTGTTGACAAGTATTTAAAGGGTGAGTGTCAGGAGGACAGAGCCAGGCTTTGTTCAGTGATGTCCAGTGATAGGACATGGGGCAATGGGTGCAAACTGGAGCATAGGAGGTTCCATGTGAATATCAGGAAGAACTTCTTTCCTGTGAGAGTGACAGAGCCCTGGGACAGGCTGCCCAGAGAGGCTGTGGAGTCTCCTTCACTGGAGACATTCAAAACCTGCCTGGATACATTCCTGTGTGATGTGCTCTGGGTGACCCTGCTCTGGCAGGGGGTTGGACTAGATGATCTTTTGAGGTCCCTTCCAACCCCTAGGATTCTATGATCCTGTGATTCTATGAAGATGGTCAGAGGCTAGAGCACCTCTCCTATGAAAACAAGTGTGTGAAAGTTGGGATTATTCAGCCTGGAGAAGAGAAGGCTTAAGGGAGACCTTATGGCAGCCTTCCAGTATCTAAAAGGGAGCCTACAGGAAAGCTGGGGGAGAGACTTTTTACAAGAGTGTGTAGTGATAGGATGAGGGGTAATGGTCTTAAATTGGAAGAGGTGAGATTTAGATGAGACATTAGAAAGAAATTCTTCACTTTGAGAATGGTGAGACACTGGAAGAGGTTGCCAAGGGATGTGCATGACCACCCCCTCGAAGTGTTCAAGGGCAGGTTGGATGGGGCTTTGAGCAACCTGGTCTAGTGGGAGATGTCCCTGCCAATGCAGGGGGGTTGGATCTAGATGATTTTAAGGTCCTTTCCAACCCAACCCATTCTGTGATTCTATGATAATGGCTTCTGATTTGTTTGGGTGAAAATAAGCGAAGACCAGCTACTTTGCAGCTTAAGCTTGCCTTCTGTTAATTGGGAATGAAAAGCAACAGGACCAGTTGGGCCAGCTGATGAGGAAGCAAACATTTACCCATTCAATTCTATCTTGTGCTGCTTTCAGCTGTCTTTGAGAAAAACTGGAGGCTTTTTTACTTTATTTGAAGGATGTGGTAAACTGATCAAGTTCATTCCCGGATGATTACGTTGCAAAAATTCCTTTTGCACTTTGACCTGAATCCTGTGATGTTTGGTGTACCATGTTCAAGTTCTACCGTATTCTATTTTGGAGAGTTTCATCTTGCAGAGGCTGCAAGAAAGCTGGTACTGACTGAACAAACAGGTCCTGTTCCAGTGCAGGATTGCATCTGTTTTTATAACATCATTTTCCAATTCAGGAGTCTTTATCTCATGGGGCCAAAGAATACCAAAATACTTTGTGATAATCTAAGAAATTATTCTCTGGGTACTGGTAAAATGGCCATTATATGTTGTTCATTACAACAAAAAAAAAAAGTTCAAAATAAGCATGGAACCACCCTTTCTTGGCTCTCAGTATTAGTACTTCAAAGGACTGCACAGCTGTCTCTTTGCCATGTCTGCAGTGTTTTGGCTATCAACTGAAGGCCAACAAATGGACCAGCTTGTTATTTGCCATGGTACTTCTGTATGATCTGAACATCTACCTTCTGCATGTTTGTGAGTCAGTTCATTGTGCAAAAGTAACTGTAGCTATAGCTCAGTACTTTTCTTCTGGGACTAGGATGGTGCTGCAAAGGAAAGAGAGTTTATCTCAATTTTCAGTTCCTTTAAGTAGCATCTGTAACATTTTTCTTTCCTTTCGACCTCTTTGCGTTCATGAATTAGTTCTTTGGAAAATAAATTAACTGCATGCATTAATATCTTCTGTGTTACTGCTTTCAGCACATCCTAGTGAAGAAATGTTATTTTATTAGCCCACTCGGCAATAATGACCAATAACTTGATTGTTAACTGCTGTGTTTTAAATGGAATGCTAAATATAAGCTTGTTCCAAAGTGACAGAATCTGGGTCTCTTTTTTTACTGTAATACAGGTGCTTCTGTTTTCAGCCCTGTGTTGTTAGGAAGCTGCAGCTAATTTTTATGGTGCATGTCAGTAGTAGTGGTTCAAATTACACATTTCGTTGGGTCGCTCTTTGTATATAAACTGTCTTCTATGAGGGGAGAGAGATGTTTTTGGTTCTGGGGAAAGCAGTATCTAGACCAGAGAAAATGACCAAATACAGAGCAAAAGCTAAGATTATTCTGTTGATAGCATCATTGTACTTCCAAAGTCACTTCTAGGAGGGATGGTGGCCTGGGCTGAATTTCCACCAATCTGCTAGTCAAGACTAATGCAGGTATTCTGGAAGATTCCAGGTGAGATGTATACACTTCCTCAAAGTGCTGTTTTTCAGACTTCTTGGTGCAAAACTGTGACATGTGGTGTGACTTCAGAGCGAAACAACAAAAAAGATTCAGATATTATGAATTAGAAAACTGTATAGTGTTGGTTCACAACAAAGGTGCTGTGGCAATTTTTAGGCTCTGTATAAAATTCAGTCCTTTTTAAAATGATTATTACACTGCTGGCATGTGGATCAGGACATGTATGAAATTAGAGTGGCAAAAAGTGAGTGTAGTCAAGCGTGCATCTTGTTGAGAATACATATGTGCAAGGTGGAATCTGACTAATAAGTTAAAAATATTTTTCTTGCTGAATCTGTACTCCTTCTCTGGTTAAAGGAGATGGTAGTCCACTTCCTGATGTTCACACTCAGCTTCGGTTCCTAGCAGTGTCTTGTTTTTAATCTTGCTGGAGATGCCTCTATAAAATGGTGTGTGCCTGAAGCCTGCTTGCTTAAACACGCCAGTCATGTCAGCTGCAATGCGGCAGCGCGCGGTGCTAATGAGGTGAGCAGCCAGAGCACCCGGCTGCGTGTTGTCTCATCTCTGCAATTATGGCAGTGGGGACTGGAAAAAGGGATTTGTGCTGGATAACATGCTGTTTTGGCCCTTCCACAGGGTGACCCTGTGACCTTCCCGAGGACTGGGCAGCGTATTTCTACTTCCATTTTTGAGAGTTAAGTGGTTGCTTCACTATACTTAAGGCAAGCTCTAAAATACATCTGGTTGGGAGAAGAAAAAAACCTGGAAACTATGGAGAGGGCAACCCTGTCTTCTGCCCCCCTGCCTCTCCCTTCCCTCTTTAAATAAATTCAAATGCATGTTGAAATGAAATATATTGCCTGGTGGTACGTGTGTTCGGGTTGAGTAGATGCAACTCTGTAGCATCTTTGGAATAGAGCTAATCAAGTAATTAATTTGGGCAAGATCTGGATTGTTACGGCTGGCCTTTCATAGGCACAGAAATGCGGATGCACTGTGATTTCTCAGTTCACCATCTTTCTCTTTTTTAACTCTTAAGATGCTGACAGCAGTATGAGTTGTGTATTTTATGCTGAAGTCAGAAAGTTTTACTTTGAGCATAGGGCTAAGAAACTGAATATCCTATTTGTCTTTCCCCATCCTCAGATACCAGACTGTCTTCATTGAGCTTGATGCCTTCCTGTCCAATCCTATTGCATTCCTTTTCCTGCAGTCTGTCCTTCATTGTTTCTTCTCCATAGACATAGTTTGTAAAACTGTAAATCATGATTTGGTAATACATTGGTCTTGGCAGCAAAGGTGGCTTTGCTTCTACTTCCTGCCTTAATGTCATGGGATGCTGCGCTGTTGGCTGATAAAATTAGTTCTGAGTACTTATTTACTATAAATCAGATTGTTTAAATTACCTATGTTTAAAATACTGCTGATTTGTTTTTTTAAGGGTCACACCTAATCTCTGTTACTTTGATATTATGCTGTGTAACATGATACCACTGAGAGATCAATAATTCATCTGGGACTGCAAAAGGAATGAATGTGTGGGCAAGAACCAACGCTGGGAGGCAGGAACATCCTTAGCTGACACTGCTGATGTGAACATAGTGTGAAGCTAACACCCATAGAAAGGATTGTCTCAACCTATTAAAAAAGTCCTTCACCCTGGGAAAGAGCCCAAGATTATGTGCCCTAATACAGTATGTTCTTTGCCTAGTCCTGGTTTTAAGTGGGTTAAATAGCACAACTGACAAGCTGCATTTTAGGGAGAGTTGTGATGTTTTAATGCTTACCTGTTGAAGTCTGGTATCTCTGTTCGGATCACATAAGGTACAGTATTTCTTTGTCAGTTTACCTTCTCCTGAAGACCTTGAGTTAATTGGAATATTTTTCTCTTCCTTAGGTCTCCGGGTGAATGGGGAACTCATTACTGCTTACCCACAAGTGGTGGTTGTGCGTGTACCAACACCTTGGGTCCAGAGTGACAGCGATATCACAGTCCTCCGCCACCTAGAAAAGATGGGCTGCCGGCTGATGAATCGTCCCCAGGCCATCCTCAACTGTGTCAATAAGTTCTGGACGTTTCAAGAACTTGCTGGCCATGGTGTGCCTCTTCCAGACACTTTTTCATATGGTAAGGCATTTGGATCAAAAGGTAGCATAGTTACCTGCCATAATTTGTGCTTTTGCAATGCAAAAGATAGAAGTTAAGTTTTGGAAATGCATAGAATTAAGTAGCCTGAGGCTACTATTAGTTCCACAGTTCAGTAACCAGAAAAGGAAATTAATGTCACAACACTCAGATTCTGTTTCTGACTTAGTTTCTTAGCTGTGGTGCTTTGGTAAGATGATTTTAACTGTACCTGAGCCTCCCAACATTAACTTAGAATGTTATTGCTAAAATACTTTGAACTCTTTTCCAATTGTCTGAGCAACAGTCAAGAACTTGGGGAATTGCATGTCACAGGATACGATGAAGATTTAGACTTTGATAAAACCTGAAAGTAGATTAAGCTTCTATATGAATGAAAATATCTGCAAATACATTAGCCATTGTGAAAAGTCAAAAAGTGTATAGGCCCTCATATTCAGCTTTTAACAGATGTTTGCGATTTGTTTCCCACCAGGGTAGTTAATGTCTCTTGTGCCTGCCTCTGGAGTCTGTGGTTCCTGACAAGAGTGCTAGATTAGAGCAACCATTTGTCAGAGCTACCCTGATGCTATTTTTGCTTTTCATTACAATTTATTAAATAATTGAAAATACCTCTTTTCTTGGAAAATACCAGTGCTTTCATCCCCTTTGTGAGGTTGCACCAATAGGCTTTTATAATGGGAACTTGACAAAAACACAATCAAACTTGACGTAAACAAAAACATGAGTTTCCATCAATTACTGTGAAAACACCTTTAAGAAGAAACATATCCTTTCTTTATAGATGTGGGTGCTCTAGCTCTTTGAGAAGGGAATGAGCTTTTAATGTTTTTTTGGGGTAAGAGGAGATAATGAATTACTTGCAGAACATCTCTGTCTTTTTGTAACTCCTTGCCACTTCTTGTAGCGCCTGCCTCTGGAATGTGACAGAAGCATGACCTTTTTTTTTCCCTTTTCTTAAAACATAAGTATAAAGCTATTGATGAGAACTGGCTTTGCCAAGAAAAACAGGATGTGCTGAATGACATGTTATTCCATGACATGCATTAAAATCCCTGGTGAGTTAGTGCTGGCTGCTGTTGGCTTTGTGGCCAGTGTCTTGGCTTGACTTCCGTGCTTTACTGCACATGCTGTCAGAGAAGTCTCATCCCTTTGTCTGCTAACTTTCTCTTCTGTATTTCTTGTGCTGCAGTCAGCCTTTTGTGAATTAAACTGAACTCAGATAACCTTGAAGTATCAACCATAATGATGTGGATGGTCATTAGAAGGTGCTCTCTCATCTGTAAGGTCCTTACAGGTGCGGTGAGACAAAAAGGTTTAAGTACTACTTCAGGAAATAGGGAGAATGAGATGTAGGAGCCTAAAGAGCTGCAAAGGGGGGAGGTGAAGTTGCAAGATTTGGGTTTGTTACTGCTCTCTGGTTTATGCCTTGTCTTTGTATTCCCTGTTGCTTTCCTGGTTAGTAGTTTGAATGGAACTGTTACTGGTGTTATATCTGTGCTATTTTCCTGCTAGATGTTTGAAAACATGGAATTTGATAAGGTGAAAGAGGTAAACAGGAACAAGATGGTAGAATGGGGGCATTAATGTTTGGAAGATTGGATTGAGCCTTTTGGGGCTGTGATCAAGAAGAGTTTTTCAGCTTACGTCTTTCATTTTAAAGAATGTAGGAGTTAGTATCTGCTAGATTACAAACACCTTCAACGTCTGACAGCTCTATCACCCAGTTCCTCTTAACTGATAGTTTTTCCTGTATTACCTAAGCTGTATGGGTGGGAGGAATGTGTGGCAATTACATCCCAAATTTGGCCACACCAGATTGATGGCACATAATGTTGTTGGTTTTCTTTTTGCCAGGTGGTCATGAGAATTTTGCCAAAATGATTGATGAGGCGGAAGTGCTGGAGTTCCCTATGGTGGTGAAGAACACACGGGGTCACCGAGGTGGGTGTGAGGTCAGGGGTGAGGGTAGGGAGTGTTCCAAGCAGCAGTCTTTAAGATTTTGTCTCGTCAAGGGATGGTAGTGAAGGTCTTTTATTAGGTGTTGGACTTCTTTGTGGAACATCTAAATTCTACCAGCCTTCAATTTCTGAATGTTAACTAGGCTGTGACACTGGAAATCGATTTTAGTAGAACCTAGTCTTGCAATAGCAGGGGGGATAGGAGTTCAAAATGGTGGTGCATGAGTGACTTCTATGAGGAAAGCTTTGAATGGGAATAATGGAAGGTCTGTCCTTAGTAGAGAGAAGCATACATGGTTTTTAGGTATATTTCTAAATAGGCATAAGAAATGGAATCTTAGATTATTCAGTCTTGATTTGACTTTTTCTCTACTTTGTAACTAGTATTCTGATTTAAATAAAACCTCATGTATTGTTTATCAAAATGAATCTCTGTTTTTTGGAAAGAAGTCTCTGATAGTGCTGATGATAATACAGCAAGTTCAGATTAAATTATTCTGTTATCAGTCTCTTATTTAAAGTGTTGAATATGAAACAATACATCGGTTTTGTTTATTAAAAGAAGCCAGGTTTAAAATCAACTTCAGAGGTTACTTGCAAAGGAGGTTGCACTGTTTCTAAATTTTTTAGAAACCAATTTAAGAAATACTTGAAGAAAAAAGGGACTGAAACTGAAGTTTAAGCACAAGAACCAGCAATTACCTTAAGAACATAATAAAAAGACACCACTTCTTCCTCCTTATTGTCCTTCTGTTTGTTCCCCTCTGTGCTGCACTGCTACATATCTTCTGCTGGCATGAGTGTTTCTGTAGCTGTGTAGTAAATGTATTCAGGAACTTAGGTTGGATGAATCTAGATGGTTTATTTTTACTTGGATTAATTTCTTACATGGATCATTATTTACTCTTACAAATGTTTATGTTGATGTAATGGAAGAGTGAGAGCAAAAGGCTGGAGTGGAGGAAGATCTGATCTGCCTGTTGGCAGTAACACCTGTTTATGTGGTTTTAAAGTGCTTGTGGAGGTACAAAGCCAAGTTTGAGTCTGACTTCACAGCAAGCTGAATTTGACAACTATGGAGTATCTGAGACAGTGGATTTCACTTGATACTGCCTCTTGTTAAGATGTACCAAATAATTATAGCAAGTGCAGTTATTAACTTCTTTTTTTTAGCAAGAAAAAGAAAATTTTTCCTATAAATCTCTGTTTACAGGTTCTGCTTTAGAGCGCTTTAAATTCCAGGCATTTTAATGCAAATTTATGCACAGTACATAAACTTTCACACTAAGAAAGCTGGGGAAACTTTCAAATTAATGGAAGAGCAGCCATTTGCAAATTGTATTTTAAAAAAAAAAGCAAACATGGTCATATGTACTGGCTGATTAATATAAGTCATACTCTTCTGAGCCCGTTGTCTGCATAGTTTCCTGCAAAAGCAAATGTGCCCATCTTATTTTTGCCAAGATATCACAATGCTACATAATTGTCAAGAATTAAGTAGTTTCCCTCTGAGGCATCATTCTTCCTATGCCATTTAAGGACTATAGTAGCAATAATAAATGCCAGTAGGAGAGCTGAATTTGGGAATGGGAGAAAGCACAAAGAAGTTTTTTGCTTTCTTGTAATGATTTTTGAGCTTACATTCTGATACTCTGTGATGAGAAATTACATGTTCCTCAAGCAGAGGTGGAGACCTTAAATCCTGATGAGGTAGTGGCTGCTCCAGTTGGGTGTTGGATCACTTGGTAGAATTCTTCATACATTTTTTCTCTTAGTTCTCCTTCTACTGCATTTCTGTTTCCTTAGTTAAGATGGGCATTTTATCAATTGATTTTTGTACTCTATTAACATTGTAGACTAGTTGAGTGACAATTCTGAAAAAAAAATAAATACCTGTACTGCCTTATTGCAAAACATGTATCTAATATGGCATGGGGAGTCGTTAAGAAAGGGGAAGAGAAGTTGGGAATGTAACTAAAGATGGAAAGGGATGCCATCTTGTGAGACTGGAGATGACATGGAAAGTGGTAGTCTCAGGAGTGACTTTCATCAATATTAGTAAAAGTGCTAAATAACAAAAAGATTCTTTAATGTGCTCTAGAAAGGAAGGGGAATGAAATGACATGCTGTAGGTTTGACAGAACAAGTCCTTAGGATGTTTTCTTGCAGAAAAGCTAGTGATTTCTGAAGATTTATTCTGTAAAATTGTAGTGTATTCCATTCCATGTCTTGTGGAATCTTCTGCTAAACTGTCTTGGATACTGTGGAGTCTAATGTTTTCCTCTGAAAATAGTTGTTCCACTGCAAAGCCTTATTTTGGAGTTTTGATCTCTTGTGTTAGAAGGAGCAGCTTCAAGAAAATTCCCAACAGAAAAGTGGTTTGGTTCTGCAGTGGTACACTAGTGACTTCAGGTTTCTTAGCTGCTTGGTGTTTAACAGTTTCATGTCATTGATTCCTATGTGTCAAAGCTGTAAGCTGCAGGTCCAGTCCTCTTGGATGAACAAAACTATGTTATTAATTAAATATTTGCTACTCGTAGGTATTTCTTCCTGTTTTCTCTTGTTAAGGACTTGTACCAAAAGGAGCTGAACTACAAGGCCACCTCTGGAATCTAAAGCTGTTTTCTTTCTGTTTATTTTTCTGTTTTCTACTCCTTATATGGCTGCTCAGCTGTGTCAGCACTTCAACACTTAGAAGCAGTGGAACACTAATGCCCACAGAATAATTTTTAGATGGGTATAAGCTACAAATGGGGCACGAGACTCACTGAGGTTCTGCTTTTATGCATTGAATCATTGATGCAGCTCAAATCGGTAGCTTCCTCCAATCTTCTGATGTTCTTTTCTTCATACAGGTAAAGCTGTGTTCCTGGCACGAGACAAACACCATTTGGCAGACCTAAGCCATTTAATCCGTCACGATGCCCCTTACTTGTTTCAAAAATATGTTAAAGAGTCTCATGGCAAGGATGTCCGTGTCATCGTAGTGGGAGGCCGTGTGGTGGGCACCATGCTCCGCTGCTCCACAGATGGGAGGATGCAAAGTAACTGCTCGCTTGGTAGGAAAACCATTGTTCACAGTTTTGGTCAGAGTTTTTCAGTGCAGTTGAAGAATCACAAACCGAACTGAAATAAGCTGCAGGTTTATTTTTATTAGTTGTGCTTATTGTTGGGGATTTACAGAGGAAAAATGAGAGTGTTTGTTAAATGAGGTGTGTATTGAGCAAATCCAGACCCTTGATTACTTCTAGAAGAGGAGCAATTGGAGAACAAGTCCTGTGAGGAAAAGCGGAGGGAATTAGGATTGTTCAGCCTGGAGAGGAGAAGGCTGAGGGGAGACCTCATTGTCCTCTACAGCTACCTGAAAGGACGTTATAGCACAGTGGGTGTCTTCTCTCAGGTAAATAACAATAAGCTAGAGGAAATGGCCTGAAGTTGTGCCAGGGTAGGTGTAGGCTGGATATTAGGAAAAATTTCTTAACTGAAAGAGTGGTCAGGCACTGGAACAGGCTGCCCAGGGAGCTGACAGAGTCACCATCCCTGGAAGCATTTAAAAACCATGGCACTTGAGGACATGCTTGAGTGGGCTCTTTTTTTTGGGGGGGGGAGGTGGAGGGAGGGACAACCTTGATGGTTGGATATGGTAATCTTAGAGGTCTTTTCCAACTGTGACAATTCTGTGATTCCGGATATGGGGTTTCCACAGCTTCCCTGGGTAACCTCTTCCAGTGTCTTACCACCCTCAAAGCAAATAATTTCTTTCTAATGTCTCATTTAAATCTCACATCTTCCAGTTTAAAACCGTTATCCCTATTGCTACATGCCCTTGTAAAAAGTCCATCTCCCAGCTTTCCTGTAGGCTCCCCTTTAGATAACTGAGAGGCTGCTATGAGGTCTCCCTAGAGCCTTCTCTTCTCCAGGCTGAACAGCCCCAACTCTCTCAGCCTGTCTTCATAGCAGAAGTGCTCCAGCCCTCTGATAATTTCTGTGGCCCTTCTCTGGGCTCGCTTCAGGAGCTCCATGTCCTTCTTATGTTGGGAGCTCCAGAACTGTTGAGAGGGATGTCAGTCACCTGTCACCGGGCAACAGACAGCAGGTTTTTCTCACTTTCTCCAGGTGGCGTAGGGATGATGTGCTCACTGAGTGAACAAGGCAAGCAATTGGCAGTCCAGGTGTCCAACATCCTGGGAATGGACGTGTGCGGCATTGACCTGCTGATGAAGGACGACGGTTCATTCTACGTCTGCGAGGCCAATGCAAATGTAGGTTTCATTGCCTTTGACAAGGCTTGTAATCTAGATGTAGCTGGTATCATAGCGGACTATGCCACTTCCCTCCTGACCCCCGGCCGCTTGACGCGGCGCATGTCCTTGCTCTCTGTGGTGTCCACGGCAAGCGAGACTAGCGAGCCAGAGCTGGGCCCTCCAGCTAGTGCCGCTGTCGACAACATGAGTGCTAGCTCCAGCTCTGTCGACAGCGACCCTGAGACCACTGAGAGAGAGTTGCTCACCAAGCTCCCGGGGGCTCTGTTCAACATGAACCAGCTATTAGCCAATGAGATCAAACTGCTGGTGGAGTGATGCCATATGTTAATAGGTGACCAACACAACTCTCTCTTGTAACTTTTTCTTTTTAAACCAACTTGCAATGCTGTTTATCAGAGAAGCTCAGAGGAATGGGGAAGGGGTGGTGGTGGGGAGGGGTGTCATTCAAGACAGAAGGAGTAAAAGGCATGTGTGCTGTGATTGCCACCCCTACTTTTTGCAGAACAGAAAATTGTGTTCATTCTTAAGCATCAATTTTCTAAGGAAGATGCTCAGTTTACAACCTAAATGGGAAATTGGCTTAGATGTTGCTTGGTTCCCAGATGTGTTGCAGTTCATGTATGTTCACAGGCAAGCTCTGAAGCATGATTCATACTTGAAGATTTCAGAAACTATTCTGGCAGCTCTCTAGAAACTTCTGTGAACTGCTGCATCATTTAAGTCTCTTCTGCCTCTGCAAGGCTTGATCCTCTAAATTGTCGAGTGCCTCAAATTCTTAAAGGGGGGTTGAAGGTGTTAAATACCAGGTATTTCAAAGTTTCTGGGCACCTGCTGTTCCTACTCTTGTAGACAGGAGCTTTAAGTTTAGGGTCCTTTTGAAGTCATCACTTCCTGACCTCGCAGGATATGGCCTTTCAAATGATGAGGCTGAGAGAACTATCAGTTGACTTAACATGAGCTTTCTGTACAGATCTGTACTTTATGCTATCTTGGTATTAATTGGCAGCTTTGTGTCTATATTCCATTATAAAATTTTTTGAAGGAGGATTTTAATACTTGTGTTTTTCTCATTTCACATTCTGATTTTGGAAGGTGTGTAGGGGAATTGGTCATATCCTATTTGTGGCAGAAGTGGCACGTTTTAACTATTTTTTGCATGATTGGAGGAGATAAACAGCACTGTAATGTTTGGTATACAAAATATTGTTTAATCCAATGTGAAAAAGAATTACACTAGTTAAAAGCAAACGTGCATCGACTTGTATTTGTTAGTGTTCTAGTCTTTTTGAGAGAGATCTGCAATGTTACTGTTCCTTTTTCTTTAATACATGCTAGTCCAACACTCCCTTCTTTATGCCTGCATCTTTAACAGTGGCCAAAGTGAAAACACTGCAGACTATTTGTTGAGAAAACAGTGAGTTAAAGCCTGTACATTGGTGGGGTGGGGTTTTTGTTTGTTCTGTTTTCTTTCTTGCCTCTGTTTTTTTAGAAGTTTTTTTGAGGGAAACATGTTAAGGTGTGGAGGAGTGAAAAGTTGGTTAAAAGTGATTAGACATCTATAGGTTACTTTAGAATAAAGCTGCAAGTTTATACAATACTTACCAGGCTTACTTTTTCCCCACTGAACATAAAAACTGATGATGGCAGAAATCTGAAGAGTATGACTCTCAGTTCTTAGCTGTTGGAAACAAATAAATAATAAAAATAAAACAAAATAGAAAAAAAAAAAAGCAAAGGGGAGGGGGAGAAGAGAGCTCAGCCAGAATTTTTAAAAAATAATAATAAAAAAAAATTAGTAGTCTAGGTTCACAATTAACAAATTGATCCTGGACCTTTACGTGTGTGTGTGGTGTGGGTGCACACACTTGTGTGTGTTTGTGTGTGTGCATTTCCTTTGCTTTATTTCTTTTTGGGTTTTGGCTGTTTAGCTCTTGATTTTTTTTCCAGGCTGCCTGATTTTTGTTAGTCCTTCTGGCTGATACTAGCCAAGAGACACATATGATAAAAATAAAACAAGAAAGAAAAAAAAAAACAAAGGGGAGGGGGAGAAGAGAGCTCAGCCAGAATTTTTAAAAAATAATAATAAAAAAAAATTAGTAGTCTAGGTTCACAATTAACAAATTGATCCTGGACCTTTACGTGTGTGTGTGGTGTGGGTGCACACACTTGTGTGTGTTTGTGTGTGTGCATTTCCTTTGCTTTATTTCTTTTTGGGTTTTGGCTGTTTAGCTCTTGATTTTTTTTCCAGGCTGCCTGATTTTTGTTAGTCCTTCTGGCTGTGCATTTTCTCATTACTGTTGAGCTGTTTTAGAAAACAGATAACAAAACCAGATATGGAGTCCATTTTTCAGTCCCTATCTTCCCCCTCCTTTTCCTCCTCTGTCTCCTGATCCCTTTTCATTCCTTTCTCATTGTCTGGGTTCATAAAGCTCTGGAACTATATATATATATATATATGTGTGTGTATATATATATATATATATAAAGATAAGCCTCTTTTTTTAAAAAAAAAAGTAAAATGTTTACAATTGAAAAATAATCTTGTGAAAATAGGTTTTTTTGGAGGGGGTTATGTGTGTCCAATGCTGCTGTTTTCTGGATACTTTAATGGAGCATGTCCTGTGTGCCCTCTGAGGCTCTGCACTGCCCACCTCTGTGGCCCTTCCTCACCTCTCTGCTGCTCTACTGTTTTATCTTCACTTGGACCTTAAACACGACTCATGGACACTTATGCAGAGAGTTTTCAAGAGGCAATAAATAGAACGGTATTAACCTGCTTTATGGAGGTTTGATCATGCTTCTTTGTACAGTTTGGTTTTGGTTTTGGGTTTTTTTGGGTTTTTTTGTTGTTTTTTTTTAAATTTTAAAAGGAATGTAATAAAATGGCTTGCTTTTTTTTGTAGAATTAAATATTATTATTAAAATCAAGTGAAAGATTGACTGTTGGTGTTAAGCAAGGGAAAGGACCAGCTGGTCCAGCAACAAAAGGAACTTCAGCACTAAAGGTATTTTCAAATCTTTCTTCCTGAGCCTTCAAGCCCACAGATTATACCTGAAGAATATAAAGGTCTTCAACTTCCATGAAGAGTTTCAGAACCACAAACCATGAAAGAAACCTAATTTTCTAGTGGCTAAACAGCAAACTGTCTGTTCTAGAGGCTCTTCTCCCCTTGCTTGTTTATCTAAGGGGAATTTGGGTGGTGGTAGGGGTTTTGGGTGTCGGGGGTGGTTTTTTGTGGATTTTTTTTGGTTGGGTTTTTTTTTGTTTGGTGTTTTTGTTTGTTTGTTTGTTTGTTTGTTTTACTGGTAGGTGCTTACCCTCCTTGAGGGGCTGATAGAGTCATTGCTTCCCATTTCAGCTGTGGCACATATTGAGCACATGTAGAGTAACAGCAGGGAATAAACGTGCTGGTTTGTATAGTGGCACCTCTGTATTTCGTTGCAGAAAACATATTTTAGAGGCAAGAGCTGGTAACTTAACATTGTGGCCTGTTTTTTAAGTCTCCATACTATTTTCTGGCTCACAGGAACTTTGTTTCTGTCACCCTTTCAGAATATCCAGATTACACCTCACAGCAGTAAAATTTCTGAAGAAAACATAAGATTTTTAGAAAGACAAATCAGAGGAGGGAGAGATTTACTCTGTAGTTGGTGCTAGTTTGGAGATAAGTCTATGCATCGTGGTCAGAGAAGGAGACAGGATTCTAAACATCATGTACATTTGTTTGGACATTGGGTACTGCATGAAAACCTGGCTTGAGAGTTCATTGGTACAAATGAGCACACTTGTCTCCTGTATTTACTCCCTACTTATCTGTTGCTTGTGAAATAGTGAAACGTATAGAATGGGCTGGGGGTGCAAAGGGGGTGTCTTGTTTTTACTTAAGGGAAAAAAAAAATCCCACTAAGAAATCTATCCTGTGGTAAACAGGCAATGTTTCTCATTGAAGGTGAACTTTACAGACATCAGCTTTATATACTGCGTTTTCTTCAATACCATATGCGGAAAAACAGATGCTAAACTTTCATACAGTTGCACTAACACTACCTCCATTTTTGGAAGCATGTGCTGAAAAAAGGTCAACTTAGTGCTGGATTCCAATAGTGCTAATACAGCTGATGGTGTTACAACTATTTTTGTATATTTTAATGTTTTAAATATCCAATTAGAAATTCTTGTTTCCAATAATAAGTTTATTAGACCGCATCTGATGAAATTTTGTTCTTTGTAACACTGGAGATTTTCTTCTGTTCAACTTGCCATGTTCGCAGTTGTTGTCTTGCTGTGTCAATGTATGAGTTGTATTGTAAGCCTTGTGTTTAATGCTTAAAAGTGTTTATAAAATCTTTTCTTGGAATATTACAACACCTCATCTGTAACACAGTGTCAGTGCTTGTTGCATATGTGGACTGTTAATGTTTTTCCTTTAAGCTAATGGTCACTCTGAGCATTTTCTCCCACTTTGTGTGCTGTCTTTCATGTATGATACTTAGGAAACAACCTGTGGAATATCTGTGTGTGTCAGATGCAAAGGAGATACTTCTTCAGATGTTATACTGGACTTCAAAATCCAACAAATGAAATCAGTGACATTTTAATCTTTTCTCCCCCTTATTGCAAAAATCTGTCAGTTAAATACATAAGGGACCTTAAGGGCATAGAGGGACTTTGAAAACAAATGACATCTGTCCGTATCTTTCTCATGGATCACTCTTTTTGAGAAGGTTTATGGGCTTTATGGCTGGTGTGAGACACACGACCCACTCCTGTACTCTCTGTGGAATAGTAGGTGCTTGGACAGGTAACTTCTGTTGCTACTGTCTTTTTTCACTTTTAATTTTTCACTGTTCTAGGAGTTCTTTTAAGTGGAACACTGCTGGATTTATAACCAGGTGTTTGCTGTCTATCCTTTCTTTTATTTCTCTAAGTCTTTCTTAAGCTTTGAGGGTGACTTTTGAAGCAGTCTGGTGGTGGATCTTGGCCTGCTGTTGGAAGTCCCCAACCTTCTTGTATTTCAAATTTGAGTTGAAAGGTTTTTGTTTTGTTTATTTGTTTAAACTGTTTACACAAATTAGATGCACAGATTTTGGGTGGGATTTGTTATTGATCTGTTTTGTGTGACTGATTCTCCCTTTTTCTTTTTTACAGAAATGTGTTCTAACAGCTCACACTTTGTTACTGTTCTTTGCAAAACTTTTCAGGAGCCAAAAAAGTCAAACAATCCAGAGAAAACCTTCCCTTCTCTCCTTTCTGGTGGCGAGAGTGAGAACTTACGAACAGTCCTTGAGAGTGTTCCTTCCTAAACTTTTCTCCCCAGTAAAGCAAGTGGGTAAAATGGTAAATGCAGCAGTTTGGTGACATCCAAAACCGACCTGTTGTCAGGTAAATGGACTCTTTTCTGCTCTTACTTTAACCTTCCTAAGTTTCCTAACTTGTCTGCCTTCGTTTCTTCCCATTAGTTCGTTTTAGTGAAGCTTCTTCACTTCTATCTTTAACAGTGATCTTTTGAGGAAATTCTACTTATTGTCTTTATTTCC